GCATGAAACAGTGAAGCACAGTTGTTGGGCAGCACAAAAGTGCAATCTGATGTTCCTGTGAGGGACTGTTGGTGCAGTGCACCACACAACACAGCTGTGCTTCTTTGAGGTGTTTACCAAATGACCCAAAGAGTAACTTCAGCATAGGAGGGTTAATCTTTTTTTTCCCGTTTCAGATTCTGGGGATGTTCTACGGCGGTCGATACATCATCATGCTGATGGGTCTGTTCTCGGTCTATGCCGGCTTCCTGTACAACGACATTTACTCCAAATCCATGAACATCTTTGGGTCCTCCTGGCAAGTGTCCAAGATGGCCAACTTCACGTAAGTTCAACCAGAATGTTCAATTTTCCATTTTTATTTTTTGTTTTTTCCTTCCCCCCGAGCGCTTTGTTCATGCCTGTCTTGTTCTCGTCTCCCCAGTGAGGAGCTCTTGGAGAAGGACTTAACCTTACAACTGGACCCCAAAGACGCTTATGTCGGATCACCCTACCCCTACGGCTTGGACCCGGTAAGTCACTTCTTAGGTTGCCATCACAAAGAAAGAGAGAATCTCTTTAGGACTTCTCCTACTTTGTATTGAATTCACCGTAAGGACTTCAGTGACAACTTTTGTTTTTTCCCTGAAACTTATAAAGACGAACTTGCTCCTTGTGGGACGGTGTGCATAGTGTCTCTTTGAGAATTATTTTCACATCGTACTCCTGTTTGTTTTGATATGCCCTCCCCACCCAGATCTGGCAAGTTTCTGTCAACAAGTTGACGTTTCTGAACTCCTTCAAGATGAAGATGTCTGTCATTCTCGGGGTTTCGCAGATGACCTTGGGAGTTTGCTTGAGTGCTTTCAACCACAGGTACAGACCGTTTGCTTAATTGAGATGTACAATGCTCAGCAGTTTATTTCAGACTAACTGTCCAAAAAACACAGTTCCTCCTTCCCTCAGGATCTCAGCTTTCATGGACCAATATATTTGAAAACATTGCCCGCACTTGGTTTGTTGACGTTTTAATCTGTCAGCCATGCCTGTACGAACAGATGGCTTGATCATGTTTACAAGTCCTTTAGCGCGAAGTTGTTGATCACAGGATCTTTTGTCAGATGCTGCAGTAGTTTATTTTTGGGTTTTCCGACGATCATTTTTTCCCAGGTACTTTAAGAATCGCATCAACCTCTGGTGCGAGTTTGTGCCCCAGCTGATTTTCCTGGAGTTCATCTTTGGCTACCTGGTCCTCATCGTCTTCGCCAAGTGGTTCCTCTTCGACGCGGCCAGCTCCCAGTCGGCGCCGAGCCTGATCATCACCCTCATCAACATGTTCCTCTTCGTCCAGCCGCCGGGGGCCGAAAAGAAGGGCCAGGTGTCGCTTTACAGCGGACAGGTTGGTGGAAGAGAGAGAAATGTCCGTTGAAATCTGCCAGTTGTAGTTCAGTAAGGGGCCCCCTTTGCACAGACAGGCGGTTACAGAATTCCGCACGGAAAGTACCAAACACAGTGGTCCCCCGTAGGACTGCGCACACCGAGGGCAGAGAGACTGCGCGGTAAGGGGATAAACCACTGTGCTGAGAAACCTAAGCATTTTTATCAACTGATGGCGCCACTTTGGCCAATCAGTATTCTCGTTGGGTCTGACGTCACCAACTGTCTGGCGTGGTTGAGTGCTTCCTCCTCACGCCTCTTCCTTCCTGTGGGGGTGCCGTTGTAAGTGTGGAACAGAAAGTCAGTAGCATAATGATTTGCATAACGAGCAGGTTTCGGCTTTGTTGGAAAGTGTAAAGTGTTGCATGGCATATCCAGCTGGCTTTAAGTTTAACTTCTAATACCTTGCAATGTTCTGATGGAATGCAGTTAAATAACCCCCAAAATTAAATTTCGACCGTTTTCGTACCGATGATTTTCACTTCCAAATGTGACCCATCAAACCAGAACCAGGCCGAAATATGTAATTATGATGTTTGACAATTCCTTTCCCGAACTGTAATTTTTACCCTTCAGAGCATTTCAAAGTCTAAATTCTCAGAAAATTGTGATAATAACTGGCAGTGACAGTTGTTGAACTCTCATAAATATGAACGAGGGAAGTTCCGCTACTTCAGGAATGTGAAGTTACCTGCTTCAGCCTGGTTGTTGAATGGCACATCACCAATGTTGGATTTTGAAAAACTCAAATAGGCAGGAGGGAAACTCTTGTCTTGGGTGGCCAAAACTATGACCGTGTCGTGTACGTGTCCCTCTGCCTCCTCAGTATGAAACCCAGATACTGTTGGTGATCATCGCGGTGCTGTGCGTGCCCTGGATGCTCTTCGTCAAGCCCATATTGCTCCGCATGCAGCACAACAAGAAGCTCTACAAGGTGAGCTGGCCAGGCTGACAACAATCGGTCTCTAAGAGACTCCAACTTTTTTTTTTTCACTCTCCCGGAAATAAAAATGTGCTGCAGGTTATGTCCCTCTCAGGGTGAAACGACAGAATGTCTTCATCTCTTTCAAGGTCTTTGCATGTGCCACAAATGAGGCTTTTAGGCATGTTACAAGTGGAGCTGACCTTGTTGGGTCCAGAATTGTTACAAAATGGCTTTCTGAGTGTACGGACAATTTCTGGAAAAGTGCCCAACTTGGTGGATTTCCGTTTGATTTTGGGGTCGAAAGTGTTGACAGCCTTTTCTTCTTGTTGGTTATTTGGACCAGGCCGTTCGTTATCGCGAAGTCCGCATGCTCAAGAACGGCAGCGTGGGTGACGAGACAGCTGAGGTTGTTCACCATGACGCGCTAGAGGCGTCGACCTCGGACTCGGGCAGCTCGGAAGAACCCGACCAAACCGAACAGGTGGTATTCACCTTTCTCCAAAACCCCTCGAAATGAACAAAATATGGGAATAAAAATGCCCCATTCCGAGAGAATTTTAGTCGTTGATTGTAGTGCCTCCCATATAAATTTCGCAATTTGTCAATAAGAGTTGGTGGCATCAAATACTACAGGCGCAAGTCAAGGTACTGTTTTCAGGCAAGCTGTGGGAAATGATCGATAATAGAGGGTTTGCATGGCTGCCATCTTGCAGGCCAGTGCTTTTGTTCCGCAGGGATGCACAGAGTTTTCCCTGTGAAACAAAAGAGCAGCCCTGCAAGATGGCTACTCTGCAGAGCCTCAATACAGAGCCATTCCGTACATATGCAAGATAAACTGGCCACAGAACGCAAGAAGTACCCTCGTTAACTCTCTTGCTCGTCAGAATTAGGGTCTGAAAGAAACAGCACCCGATTTCTCCCAATCTCAAATACTCTCCGTTTTATTCCCCCCCCCCACCCCATCGTAGTTTGAGCTGGGAGAGGCACTGGTCTTCCAAGGCATCCACACCATCGAGTTCTGCCTGGGCTGCATCTCCCACACTGCCTCCTACCTCCGACTCTGGGCTCTGTCCCTGGCTCACGCTGGTAAGCAAGAAAAAAAAAAATCTGCCGGAAAAATTGGCTCAACAGTATTTGCATCGTGGCATCTCCTCGAAATTGGGCCACATTCTTCGCCAGTTGAAATGTTCTCCGCCTTGTGGAATCGAACATTTCGTCTGTCACCTCATGAAACTGTTTTTACCGTTGCACTCATAAATATTCATTATTTGTATGATACATGAATATCGCTTCTCATGGGCGGGCTGTTTGTCAACCCCTTCTGTACAGAGCTGTCCGAGGTGTTATGGAGCATGCTGTTCAGCATCGGCTTCAAGATGAGCGGGCTAGGGGGCTTTGTCGTCATCTGGGCGTTGTTCAGCGCTTGGGCAGTGTTAACCATCGCCATCCTGCTGGTCATGGAGGGCCTGTCGGCATTCCTACACACCCTACGTCTCCACTGGTCAGTCAAATTAACTATGCTTTCCCCCCCCAAAAAAAAAAACTCCGGGCAGAATCCATATTTCCAGGTGTAGCTGATTGCTGTATTTTCCAGCTGACAAATTGAACACAGCAATGTATCAAGATGGACAAAGATCACATCAGAGCAGTGACTTAGCAAGGCGGGGAACCGATACGTGAAAATGACTCTGCCAGTAAGCACCAGTGAAGAACCAAGGATTGGTGCACTGAAATATGCCCAGAAAGAATAGCTACACATGTTCTTCTCTTACCAAGATATTTGCTTTTAACCACTTGCTGCCGGTGAGCCCAGTTTCCGGCATGTATCCTTTGTATGCGTAGCCAAGGTCTCTGAAATCCGACAAAGGGAACAGGGCCTCGTAACAAAAGACCGTACTTGTAACAAAAGACCAGGTTGTTGGGAATTACCAACATTTTTTCACTCTCAATAGCGGAGATAATCCAGCATTTTTTTGAAACTGTATACTGCTGTTTGGGGCATTCAGCGTGAGCGGATTGACTATGAATATACTCGTAGTCGGCAGTCAACGTGTTAACCTTACATAGTGTTGGATGCAGAGGTAACAAGTGATGTTGCTGGTGGTTTCAGAGAGAGAGAGAGTATGGTTGTGGAGGATTCCGGAAGGTTCCTGGCAGATATTTTAGGGAACTGGGGTCAAGCTGTTGTGATCAAGTGCCAAGAACAACGCTGTCAAACTGTTTCCCCCTTGCTTTTTCTTTGCCAACAGGGTGGAATTTCAGAGCAAGTTCTACAAGGGAGAAGGTTATGCCTTCCGGCCTTTTGCCTTTGACGCCCTCTTGGACGCCCAGGATGAGTAAATTGAACATCTCACCAGTGGCCATGACCAGTGTTCTAGCGTCAGTTTTACTGCCTCCATCATGCGCAAAGTTTGACTGTTTAAAATTGGGTGCTATGGTCAGACAGAAAAAAATGAATTGTTTTCATTATAAAGAGAGAAAATGAAACGTCTGTGTCAAGGTGGCATCATGCATATTTGTATTATTCAGAAATGGTTATTTAGCAGAAGCAAACTTCTCAACATTTGGAAAGAAAAGCAATTCTGCATGGAAAGATTAGTGTAAAATATATCCTAATGCGTCAGTTGGATATATTGAAAACCTCAAGCTAAGGAAATGGGGAACTTTCCAGTCATAGTAGTCGATGTAGGTATTATATATAACAGGTTTGCCCTCACCCAACGTATATTAATAAACACTGTATGCTCAGTGCTTGTCCGAGAGCTTGCGAAAAAAACCTCACAAACTTACTCGGGTGGGACTTGAACCCACGACCTCCTGCTAACTAGTGCAGATGTCTTAATCACTCGACCACCGAGCTTGCCGGGATCGGCTGGCCGGTCGGAGTCAAATGAAGCAGCGGGTGGGAGGTTTTTTTCGCAAGCTCTCGGACAAGCACTGAACATACAGTGCTTATTAATATACGTTGGGTAAGGGCAAACCTGTTATATATAATTAGCATCTCCCCAACGCAAAAATACCTCTCGATGTAGTTATGTGATCTTACTTAAATTGTTGGTTGAACGTAATCGCTCTTACTTTAAGGAGGAATGTGTGGAATATGGGTTTTTTGTGCAAGTTTAACCTTGTTTGTGTTTTCGCATAGTAAACTCAAATAGGAGAATCTTGGTTTTGATTAAGGGTGTGAGAGTTTTGGTAATCAGCAACTTCTTATGAGGTATAAAAACCCTTTTCGTATTTCCTTTTGTAGCTAACCACTGAAGTCTTTATATCCATGAGGAAAGCAATTGATGTGTGTATCTCCTGGCCATAGTTTTCAGTTTCAGTTTTTGTTTTTATGTTTTTGGCTTCTTCTTTTTTTTCACAAAGTGCACCCGAAGACACACTTTGATGACCTAACCAAACGTAAAGTTCAAGTACGTCCACCAGAAAGTTTTTCTCTAACCGTATTTGCATTCCAGTATTTCATGTATATTACACAGGCTATTTTAAAAACGCCCAAAATATCTTGTGTTTAAGACAGTGGAACGTGCAAGGTAATGTCTGTGAGATACCGCCATGGTCAGTTAAAAGTTTGTGTTGTACATTTGTAGATCGCATGGGAACATTGGACGGTACGACAGTATGTTGATAAGGTGAATGTATATGAACATGTACTTTGGCGCTGCTTACAAACTTAATGCAAAAAGTGAGGCCCTTTTTAGTTTTGGGGTGTTCCAAACATGGGACGTATTTGGTAAACTTTAATGTATATTTAGCAAATGTGTAACTGGTGCTTCTTAGTTCGTATTTAATTGAATGGTAACTTGGACATCTATTATTCTGTAATTTAGTAGATCAGGATAATTACTGAAAGTTTGAATTATTTATCGAAAGTGGATAATATGTTAGGTAACCACGTATTAAGCCAATGACACAAGTCCAAATTGGTACGACACATTGCCACAGCTACATGTACCTGGGATGTGGTCTGGTATGGAAAAACTCCAGCTTGAAGTTCGAACCACTGACCGCATGTCTGACCACAGGAAAAACTGTGATATTGCCAGGTACGATATGTCACCCCGAAAGAAAAACAGAAGTTCTCGGCAGACACCCTACAGTATGAATACAGTACAGACTGTTGCAAATGGAGGAAACAATTGAAAAATCTAACAGTCCTCGATCCTTCACCTGTTGGAGGACTGAGGACTGTTAGGGTTAACGTTGTAGAAATGTCATACCTGGAAAATACAGCATTTAACAGGGGATGCCGTGACTTTGATTCGTCTGAACGGCCAAAGCTTTCCGGAAATGAATGTTTGAACTTTGGAAAAGTGTAAAAGGATGCAACTTGGCCATACAAACTAAAACGAGGACGTTTTCCAAATGTTGGGTTTTGTCTCAACTTCAACTTGAACCAAATAAGTTGACTCGAGTTTGCCAACAGTTTATGGCATGTGTGGGCAGAAGAAATGAAGATGCCTTAAAGCAGGAGAGACTTGGTTCATTAAACTGTGAAGTCTGAAGCTGAGAACGGAGTCCAAGGTTTGGGGAACTTTTGTCCACCAAATGGCCCAGAAATGAACGATGAAATGATGCAGAGAAGGGCTACATTGTGCTTGACCCTATTAATGGACAACTTCTGGCAAATCACTTGTTCTGCACTTGGTAAAGTAGTCCTTTGGAATGCAGAAAATATCCCTTCAATATCAAGCCGTCCTTCTGGACCTGGTTTCATGTAACAATTTTTAGGTGGTGTACCTCATAATAACCAAGTACCTCTTTAATCTGCTACCCCGAGTCATGGTCCACCACTGTACTGATTATAGTAGGTCAGGGCATTAAGATATCCCCGTAGTTATTCCAAGGGTGCCATGTAAGAGTTGTCTTTAACCTATGTTTGAATTGTATGGCTTACTTAATGCAATATTAGCCATGTTTAATACAACAACCTGTACCAGTCTATTTATTGATGTTGCTAATTGCTCTCGGACAAGCACTGAGTATGCAGTGTTTATATATATATTGCCCACAAAATAAACTTAGACATAAAGATTGGTCAAGCATTTTATGTTTTGCCGGCATGTGCAAAGTGTTTTTGTTGTTTTTATTTTCCAACAGATGTTTTTTCTCGGTTGGTTTATTGGTATCATCTCGTTTTTCCTTTCAAGTTGTACTTTCATGGAAGGGCCCAAGCTCTGTCGTAATCATTCAGATCTGTCTCAACATCGGCTGAAGAACTCCACTCTTCAAACTTTTTGCCCATTCTAAGAAACGGTCCAACTTTCAAATACCCCAAACTGGCACACCTTTTTTAAACAAAATGACATTCTTTTATTAGTGAAATATACAGAAACGGTAGTTCAAAAAAGTACCAAATGACAAGAAATATCTACAAAGATCCCTTCACCACAGTAGTACCTAAATACTGAATGAACAATAAATAGATTAAATTCACAAAACTCAGCGTAAAGGACAGAACTACCATTGTTAAAAACTAAACAAAAAAACCTGCTCAAGTCTACGGTAGTCCCACAACTTGGCTAAACACTCATATACACAAAAATGGCAGTTTTGAATACATGAAACATCAAACCGGTCAAGTTAAAAAGAATAGATGAAAATCATTTAGTACTTAGGACAAAGTAGTACCTTGACTTTTTAGGCTATCGGAATAATTTTACAAGATAAATTTTCTTCAATCAAATGCTGCCATCAGGATGAATTTTTTTTTAATTGCTAATATACAGCTAGAAGCTTATCTAAGGAGTACTTTTTTGGCCACAAAGGAATGTTAGCAAGAAGGGATTTTCTGAGCCATTGTTTATCCCTCGTAATAAAATTGAACCAAAAAAACCCTGAAGGTGCAACATGATAAATGTAATTTTAGCATTTATAATACATGCAAATTACAATGCCACATTTACCAGTAAAAAAAACTTGTCCTCAAGGATGTCTACTCATTTTTCCCCCCACCAACAATGCTCCAGTGCTGTTAAGAAACTGACCCATCTAGATGAGATGGACACAAATCACCTTCTGCCCAACTGAAAGACTATTTACTCCATACTACGACCTGAGTCCTGACATCTTGAATCTTCAATTTGCAAATTGAACTCCAAAGTGGAAATCCACCCAGGATTTCACAATTGGCACGAGGTCATTAACATCCAAGCATGCACGATGCAACACTGTGCAAACCGTATTGATACTAGGCCACTTTTGAAAACGGACAACAAACTCTCCATTTCCAAACACTTGCTCAAGCTTCATGGAAGAGTTTTTTTACTGCAATATTCCCATACTGAAGCTTTGATCTGTACAAAGCAACCACTGGTAACAGTAACTTCAACATACAAACACAAAATGCCACAAAAGCGGTAAACCATTTTGAATAACCGTTCCATGAAGTTCCCAGCTTCCAGCAAGGGGAACTAATTGAACTCGGCTTCTGTTGCTCTTAACCTCATGAACACTCAAAACTCCTTTGCAATTCTCCCCCGACCAACAAAGCAGAAATGAGGTGCAGCAGCTAGGATTTCGTGCGGTAATTATTCCCACGTCATACACAACGAAGCCAAGAAGTGGCACACTGTCTGTGACTACGCAATGACATGCACCGCGGTGCCTTGACCAATGGCAATGCCAATCTAGATCATAAATATGTATGAGGCAAGGTACAAATATCATTGGACAAGATCCATTCCCTTGAAACATATGCCCTTCAAAAATGTAGAGTATCCTGTATGCCAAGACTAAGAACTATTCACGCATGTGTAAATGACTGTAAGAATGCTTACTGGAAAACCAAGCAGAAAAAAACAACCTACATTGCACTTTGTGAGAAGGGTGAAGTTATAAAGTCAAAAAATATATACGCCCTGTCTGATTTGGTAACAGGGGGGGTCTTTAACAAGCAAGATTCCCTGCCGCCAAAAGCAGACATTCACAATTGAAAAGCTGCAGGAAACATGTCACATAGAAAAGATACTTCAAGTGAAGTTCATTGACTTTTATGTACAGGTGGGATACTATAGAAAAATGGTAAACTAACTCGAGGGTGCAGTCTGGTACCCGACACCTTTCAATAACAAAAACGTTAAAGACTGCATCAAGACCAGGCTTAAAAATTGTACAAAGCATACAATGCAGATTAAACAGACTACTATGATTTCTAAAAATAGCTTGACCCCGCCACAGGCAGCGAGAGCTTTTATGATGAACCCTGACATGACCACATCAGAGCAACTGTGCTCTTATTCATCGTGGCTAAACCGGACAGTGTGAGGTTACTACAGAACACTGTCATTTCCTCTGAACTGTATGGTACGTGTCAACGACCACTTCATAGTTAAATAAGGCAAACACGAAAGAAAAACTAATTAGGCGTCGCAAAACATCTACAGCGAAATTTGCTTGAGTTGAAATGTGTCACGTTTCTAAAAATACGCAGCACAAATATTTGATTCTGACGCCACACTTTCGCGGTTGTGTTCACGTTCGTGCAAGTATGAATCCGCCTTGACACGGGCATTACATTAATACTCAAAACACCACTGGCCGTCTGAACACAAAGTACAGGACCATCCAACTACACGTGCCTTTGTGAAGGAGAAACAGATCAAAACTACATAAAATATAGTCTCCTGTTTTCTATAGACTTAAATATGACAACTGGAAAGGGGGTCAATTTTGAACACGCTGTTGAAATGTGCATAGCATCTGAGATGAGAACAATAATGCTGTGAAGAGTAAAACAAGCCTCAAAAACAGTGAATAAACTTTATTAAAAAGCTAAAACCCTTGTCCTTATCTTAAAGTCAGCCATAAAAATCCTATGCTTTTGTTAAAATAGTCCAATGGGCCCGACTTTAAAAATTTAGTTATTTTCTCATCTCTTTGGAAGTCAATTAAGAAAGAATCATGGCAGCTCCAGACAGGAAGTCTTGTTGAGGAAATCTACAAAACGTTTGGGAGGTTTCAAATAAGGTCGTGGAGTTTAAAAAGGCTTACAAATGCTCAGAGTAAAGGGGGAAATTTGTTTGGAACATTAAGATTCCAACATTTGGCTACTGTAAAAGCCACCCACGGTGCAGAATAATCATTAATCATTAATTAAATGAACTGAGTAAGTCGTTTTAACCTTTGACAGCTCCTCCTCTTAAAAAAGAGAAGAAGAAAGCATTAAAAAAGGTATAAATTTTGTTTTCCAGGTTTCTAACTTTCCATTAAAAAAACACAGATGACAGGAAAACAGAGTTTGAGATCAACGTCTCAAATGTCATTGATAGTTGTAAAATCGCTCCGGCATGGAGCGGGCTGTCAAAAGAAAATGTTTCAGACACTCATGAAGACAGTCTACAACTTCAAATATTAGTAATTTTCTCAGTTAAATACCTAAGCCAGCTGTTGACTAATTTCACACAAACTGCAAGTTACAGCTCTTAAAAAACTCACATTTTCACCCATATTAACGCCAGCAGGAGACAAGAACTGGTTCTATCCGGACAGCACTGTCTCATGGGACAGCCCTCTGTTTGCACAGGAGTGAACCAGCTTCCCTGTGAGGCCATTTCTGACCAGTTCCGACTGGCTCAAGAATGGGCAAAACCCAGCAGAAAAACCAGTGTTTCCTGTCATAACCGGTTCCAACCGGTTCTCAACAGCGAGGGACTGCTTTTGACTGGCACAAGCCCAAGGCAAAGCTGACCAAAGCCACAAATTTGTACAAAGACACTGTCAGCAAAAAACGCCACCCTGATATATAAAAATAAGGCCACGCTGGACCACTGATCGGGTTTATAAAAACACAATAGAGAAGGTTGACCAGTTTCACAGCGTCCAGACAATGTGCATAGGAAAGGAACACGCAGAACACTTACTTAAGCTGACTTCTTCTCTTCCCTTACAAAAGCACACACTTGTATTTGCCCTTCACTGTGGAAGATTTCCATTTAAACAACTGTCATCTTGAAGCTTACAAACGAACTTCTCAACATGCTCCGACATCTCAGACTATTAGTACAAACTTCGCAGAACATTCTGCTATGAAAATGGCCATCCTTAAAAAAAAGAAAATCTCCAATAGAAAGAACTGTACACCTGATCCAATTTCTGGCTATGGCAAATACATACAAAAACTGTGGTCTCCAGGGAAAGAATTTTTAAAAAAAGGACAATCCTGCTCAACACGCGTCTTGATAATAAACTGAATCATCAACTGCAGGAAAACAACTTACAAAGAAAAAACAAACAAACAAACAGGAAACAGAAAAACAGCTAAGCTGAGGTTAAATGTACCATTCTTTCTTCTTCTCCGGCTTGACCTGCTTGGCTCCTGTCATCATGACGGCCGTGTCGGCGTCGCCCGCCATGTCGGCCCCTTTGGCTTCGTTGGTGTGGTACATGCCCTTGTGCTGGTGTTTGTAGCGCAGGATCAGCATTACCAGGATGATCAACGCCAGCAGGAGGACGATGACCACGACTGCAAAGTGGGAGGTCAGAGGTCGAGGGTCAAAGGTCAAGGATAAAAGGTGCGGGGTAAGAGGTCAGCATTACAGGCCAGACACATTAATGAACGGCCTGCTGCTCTATCTGAATTGGTTGACGGAAGCTGGAAATAATGTGTGTGTGTGGAAAAGGGGTGGGGGTCCTTGCTAGCCCGTGGCTGTCCTCGCTAGCTTGTGGCTGTCTTCGCTAGCCTGTGGCTGTCCTCGCTAGCCTGTGGCTGTCCTTGCTAGCCTGTGGGGTTCCTCACTAGCTCGTGGCTGTCCTCGCTAGCCTGTGGCTGTCCTTGCTAGCCTGTGGCTGTCCTTGCTAGCCTGTGGGGTCCTCACTAGCTGGTGGCTGTCCTCGCTAGCCTGTGGAGGTCCTTGCTAGCCTGTAGCTGTCCGCGCTAGCCTGTGGTTTTCCTCAAGGACATGTCTTTTTGGCAACCAGAGCTATTAACCCTAACAGTCCCAAATCCTCCAGTTTCAATATGATTTTACATACACCCTAGGGGGTTAAGGTTAAAGTAACTTACATGCAGCATTCGACATTATCCATTACAGGGCAATTTTTGATTAGGACAGATGACCAGGCTCCTGTTTTCAGAACCATTCACAAACATATCAAATCCCAAATCCCCCCCAACAATACTCAATTTGCAAGCTGTTAGAATAACTCACAAGTTACATGAAATAAAAAAAAATCCTACACAACAGAAATCAACAGGAACTGCCACCATTATCATCTGCATAAAAATCTGTGTTAAAATACAAATATCCTTTTATTGACAAGGAAAAAAAAGCCATAAATGAAATCAAAGGTGCGTAAGACTCATATTGTGGGATCCCTCCACAAAATAATTCCCAGTCCATTCAATACAAAACAGATTTTGACTTACAAGCAATAGCAGCCTTATCCCCACCGGTCAGCTGCTGCCCTGCCGGTGGAAGGGGCGTGCCAGCACCTGTGGCCGGAGCTTTGGTAGGAGGCTTGGGACTCGGCTTCTGGACGACCGCCGGTATGACTTCCTGCACGTTGCAGCGCGACTTCTGCATGTCGCCCTCTCCTGTCACGTTGGTGGGGGTGGCGAAGTAATTCCTCAGCGGGTAGACGTCATTGAACTTCACCCGGGAGATGCAACCCTCAAACGTGTCAGCGCCCTCTGTTGGCAAGAACAAGAACATCAAGTCCCACACAAGGGTTACAATCAATAAGGTCCATCTTTCTCAACCTTACAAATCCTTCCAAATTTCCAGGGCCAACTTTGAAGAATTAAGGAAGGTGAGAGCTCGTAAGGAAAAGAAAGCAGAGTTCAACAAGTGGAAACTAAAGAAGCCCAGTGTGCAGATCTGGCAGTGCGCAAAGTTGGTAACAATGAAATCACCTTTCAAGGGAGTTCAGGGAGTGTAAATTTTATCCTTATTTTGCCAATCCAAACAGTTGTGATCCTGCACCACAAATGGCAATTTTTACCACGGACCAAAACACTCAGAACAGCCAATGTGACGTCCTGTAGTAGGCTATGAACGCAACGCTGGGGGTGAGAATTCAGAGAGAGGGAAAGAAATTCGTGGAATATCCAGCAACAGGGTTGTGACAACGACAAGAGACTGTGACATGTCAGGACTTGCTGTAGCTAACAAGACGAGCATTCTCTCCAAAATGGCAATTATGCAAGTCTAGTACTTTTTTTTCCTTTCGGTACAAAATGAAAAAAAACCTATGATTAAGCATTTAAAGATCAAAAATTACGACATCTCAAACCCTGAAATCCAGAAAAAAACCCTGGTTTTTAATTTCATTGACCTTGCCATGCCAACAACCAACAATGTGTGCGCTATTATCTTCCATCACTGACTCTCAACCCAAGCAGGAGGCTATCCGCCTACCTGTGCTGCCCACGTAAACTTTGTTCGCTCCATTGAATGTGGTGTCCACCCCTGGAGTCACTTTCGTCAAAGGTTGATAGCCGTCCACCTGGACAGAGAAGAAAAAAATCATTGAGAATATATCAGGAGTTTTGAAATTGACTGAACACATCAAAAAGGAAAAAGACAACATCGATTTGGAACCTTATTTCAAACATCCCATCAAGTAATTTTCTCCAAATTTAAAAGAACCATTATTCTGTCACACGTTTTGGAACTGAAATTAGTTTCCATACGAGACAATATTCCATTATATGTCCATTGAGTAGACTTCATTCAAAACAAGGATCAAAACCATCTGCCATAAACAAACTTGCCTTGAACACTGCTTCGTTACCCTCACGTTCAACCTTCACGTAATGGTGCCTTCCGTCGGCAAACTTGTGTTCGCTTGTCAGTGTGTTTGGTGCTCCCGACCCTAACTTCCAGGTGAAAGTGAGGTAACCTGAACAATACAAAAACCAAAAATGTTTCCGACAAATTACATAATGTAAAACAAACTTAAGAGACACAACTGATGTTTGTTCTGATGTGCTGTAAAATTGAGAGCACAAAAGGTTTTACAAAACATGACTTTCAGGTGCATTCTGAGATACAATTATCTCCCAGCCACAATAAAATTTCTGAAAAAGGAAAAAAAAAAGTATCTTGCACTCACCCTCTGGATTTCGAATGGCAATCTCCTCAAAGGTTCCAGACAGGCTATTCTCTACTCTGAGCAGCCTCCCTCTGGCAATCTCTGTTGTGAAGGCTAGCGTAATGATGTCCACCTCTGAGTCTTGGACATCTATGGCGGGGATGTCATAGGTCACCTGACTCCCGCTCTCCATGCGACTTCCAATTTCTAATAAGAAACAGGAGAAGACAAAATTGGGTCCCGGAGACCACAATAAACAGTGGAGTGAATAAATGCGAGAACTACGCAATGTGTGAGGAAAAAGACAGAATCAATAAAAACGAAATTTGAAAAACCTGTCATTTCTTTCATCTCTTTTAAAGTATTTAAAATCAAGGTTTTTTTTAGGCCACTATCTTTAATTGTGAAGTCTCTTAACTGTAGTTAAAAAATCACATTATTCATGTTCACCGTCAAGTTTCCTTTGAGACTCTGCAAAGTGCCAGAAAAAAAATTGACAAAGCTCAAATCAAAATTCTGGTGTATACAACAAAGTGCAAAGTGGCTCATATGGGAACCCTGCTGAATGCAGAAAAACAATGCAACATGGCTGATACGTGAGCCTTACTGAATGCAACCAAAATTCAATGCAACAGAAACCGGAAGCCTGCTTAATACAACAAAATACAACTTGTGCAGCGTGCTCCACAACCACTGTAAATCATACAGTGTAAACTATCACTGATTTGTTTTTGCTGTCATATACCGTTTTTCTCTTCTTTATTACACATGAATTGTTTAACTTTAGCTACTTTTTTTCTGCACAGTTCCACATTGTGAAAATTGGTTTCTTTGAGGTCAGTTACTTTTGAAACCTTCTCCAGTTCCATCGTAATTTCTTTTATGTATTTTGTGAATGTTTTTCTGATCGTCTTTTACGATTCAACTTTTATTACTATTTTCAATTTTTCTCAATTGTTGCATGTAAATCAGACATTGTTAGTGTTATGACTTGCTGTGGACTGCATGAAATGAAAAATGAACTGTTCAAAGCTTAATCCAACAGTATTACAACGTTTGTATTTCGTTACAGTGCGACACGAGCCTGTGGCCACTACACCAAAAAGCCACTTTCCTCAACGAACCAGTTGTCCACCCACCTTTGGAGCAGTACTGCCCCTCGAACGCCGTCAGGTCACACTGGCACTCGATCTCATCGTATGTCTCGATGCACTTGCCTCCGTTCAGGCAGGGGTTCTCGTCGCATTTGCCCGAGCAGCCGGCCTCCACCTGCCTGGCCAGCTTGCCGGCAGCGACCATGTCGATGAAGCGACCGTTGATTTGGAGGTTACGCATGCAGCCCACGAAACCCTCCGACTGCAGGGTAGACGCACCTGGAAAATAACAAAGCAATTACAAACATAAAAACAAGTCTGTCAAAAGATGAACAAGAGTGTTTTCTTTATTTTGATTTCATTTTAGTCCTGGCCCTGTAAGCTTCGTTTTTTATGCCAGTTGGCCAAATATGCAAGTACCCTCCACATGGATATCATCACAGGAGGCGAAATTCAATTGGTAAAGACTCCAGTTGGCGCAAATATGAGGGAGTTTTCTGCTTATCGGAGGCTCAGCTTGGCATTTCTTGGAATGCATGCATGCTAGTGGGCACCGGTGTACCATGCATGTCATTTATTGCAGGTGCGCAGGGCTCCAATGAATTAATCAAATGCAGTGCGTGCATCTTTTGGGAATTTACAAATTTTTTCTCCTCAGGGTAAGGGTGAGTAAGTCCAATTTGGCGCATGTCACTTCATGACAAGCGTGTAACCGTTCCAAATTGCATGCGCTGGTTTGAGGCAAGATTTAGACCTACCATGGTGGCGTGCATGCAAAATGGTGAGACCATTTACCTCACGTGAATAATGACAAGATTCAGCAGATGTCACAGAGCAATGATCAACTTTTAATTCACAGCTATCCTGGTCGGAGATCCAAACTTTCAAGAAACCACAAGGATGGATATTTTTTTCCTTTTCTGAAAGTCAGATGGTGAGGGTCCGTCTATGAGTAGACTTCTTACAGTTGCAAGACACTCACCGATGAAGAAATCGTCGGTCAGACGAAGCCTGAGCTTGCCCATGTTGTACTTGGTTTTCTCCGTCTGTCCCTGGTCCACGGTCAGTGTGGCCTCCTTGGTGTCAAGGGTCAGCATCACATGGTGCCATTCATTGTTGTTGATCGGCGATGACAAGCCCACATTGACCTAGTGGTAAATGAATGAACATTTCATTGCTTGAGTGACTTTTTAAGTACAAAATAAAGGATAAACATACAGCATTACCAATAAGAATTAAGCACAGAAATTCACTGAACACTAGAGAGCTTTTGCTCAGGAAACCAGCTATGAATGTCAAGCAGATGTTATGGCTTATGACTGGTCCCCTACTAATATACGCTTAGCGCACAGACTTGCCAAGCAATTAGTTGAGTTGGTGTACCTGATTGCCACCGGCTCCGTAGTCAAAACTGAATACCAACGTCTGCATGTCCTCCAGCTCCAGCTTGACAAAAGTGTCGTCCTGGCCGTCAGCGGCAGCCAGGACGGCCGAGTCCTGGGTGGTCTTGAACTCAAAGGAGAAGACCAGGGCCTTGGCGTCTAGGGAGAGGATGGGGAAGCGGAGGTGGGCCTCGCGGGAGCGGAATGTCACCACGTTGGCCCGGTAGGCTGCGGGTTAAGCAAACACAAAGAAAAATTTAGTTCGCGGCGACTGCGGTGAATTGGAGAGACTAAATTTTGGTTCTGCGCATAGGTGTCACCAGGAATTTTTATTCCATGGAGCAAAGTACTTTTTAGGGAGGCAAAGCACTTTTTAGGGGGGGCACTCTTCAGTAATGAAGGGATGAAACACACTTACTGTGAGGAGATCAACTGCAAGATTTTTTCCATCAAGTTTGTGATTTTCCTCCCCTTTCGCTCCATTTGCATTTCTTTTCATTTTTTCCCCCAATATTTTTGGGCAGGGGGCAAGTGCAACCTTGCCCCCCCCGCCCATGATCCAGTGGGGGTGCTCCTAAGCCATCTCTGAAGCACTGTCTTTCTAATCGACAACTGAATCGATGGGCTACAACGCAAGACAAGGCAGAGAATGCATTCCTTGAGTAAGCAAGAAATTTCTCATTTCAGAAGCATGGTGGGAGAAAGCGGCGAAGGGAAACCTGGGAGAGCTGTGGACTCACCGTTGCCTCGGCATCGGAGGGGCCCCAGCCTGTAACTGGCCGACGAGCCCGAGGCCTTGACGTCCCCGAAGCGCAGCTGCTTGACGGGCAGGAACTGTTTGTGCCTCAGCAGGCCCTCGTCCATTAGGTTGGAGGCGGTGTCGGCGTCACAGTTGCACCACTTGGTCCGGTCCTGGCAAGTCTCAAACAGGCCGCACTCACACTGCGGATTTGGCCCCCCCCCAAAAAAAAACAGGACCGAGGAAACGGAAGTCAGACCTTGATGAAAGTCTAGTTTGCATTCAGCTCACAGTTTGATAAGGACAGTGACTTTTAAAAAGCAGAAAGGTGTTAACAAGAGCTGATAATCACAATGCTGACTTCCACACAATATCACAACTCTGTGGTGAGCTACCTAACTACCCGGTGTCGGGTTCAATGATTTCTGACAAACATTCCCACAACACAGATATTGATAAATGGGAGGACCCATTTAACATGGGCTCGATGGCTCAGTTGGCAGAGTGCCGTTACGGTATTTCAGAGGTCGTGGGTTCCAATCCCTCTCTGGCCAATTTCTTTGACCAAATTTCATTTCAAGTCAAATGCCCTTTCTGTAACAAATCCTAGAATAAGTTGGAGTGAAACGTTGCCAGATTTTTTGCAACTGACCTTGCCAGTCCCAGGGGCTGCTCCGCCCCAGTAGTTCATTTTTTGGCTGTCGCGGTTGACCCACCAGCCATAAGGCTCGCCATCTGGGGGAGAAAAAAAAAAACAGAACACATTAATTCTTACGAAGCACACTAGAACCGGGACGGTTCAAAGACCTAAAGCATGTATAAGAAAATCTTTTCAATATTTTGGCACTGTGCTCTCTATCCAAAGTCCTGAATTTTTTTACACTGAGAGAGTACATGCCGAAAGATCATAAATCAAGTGCTGCGAGGAAGGGGCGGGGCAAGGAAGAGGAAGGGATGAAGACTAGGACTCAAATACGCACAGCTGGTAAACAATCATATTTTAGCAATCAACTGCACAAAGCGGAAAAATTATAGGACAATTTGACGGAATCAGAAATTCAGAGTTTTCTCAGTGTTAGGTCAGTTTGAGGTTGGTTTTTACGTTCATTTTTGTCAGGTAAGATTGGGTATTGGCCAGGCACATGTCACTTAACACCTCTACAAAGTTGGGCGAAGTTCATAGAAAAAGTTTCTTCTTAGTCTCTGCGTAATCTCTGCGTAAGCTTGCTTGGCAGGGCTTGACTCGTTTTACTTACTCGGCGAGTTGAGCAGCTTGGCCCGGGTGCACACATATTGGATGTACTGCTCGCAGTACTCGGCCATATCGACCACAGCTCTGATCTGATCACTACTGGCTTGGTAGGTGATGTCACGCGAGTAGGAGCCTGGTTCCGTGTTGCCCGGAGGGATGCCTTCTGAAGTCTCGGCGTCATGTTGTATCACGGTGTATAACTCCGAGTCTGGCAATCAATACAAAAAGTTTCAGATGATGAGCTTCTTTCTCCTTAACAATCAGGGATTGGACAAACTAAATAGTTTTAATTTCTTAGGACTGGCACAGTGATACTCTCCTTGCCTTCCGTCTTCCGCCTCTGTGGCCCAGGTTCGAATCCAGCCCAGGCCAGCATGTGGATTGGGCTCTCAGTTCCAACCTGCGTCTGTGGGTTCTTCCCTGGAGAATTTCTCTGGGTTTCCTACCACCTCTAAAAACTGAACATCTCTCCACTGCACCCCTTCCCCAGGGCCCCTCGGGAGAACAGTTCACGATTCGCAGTGCTTGAATCCTGCTTGAATAATGGAATAAATATGTGCTTGGCCGGTCATAAAAGTGCAGTTAAGACCGGCTCATGAGAACAGACGCCACTAATGCCTTCGCCTGTGGCTCAGGTGTTCAGCGTTCAGTGTCCTGAGCCAGTCTTCAACGTTTAGCTTAAGTATGACCAAGCACACATTTATTCCCATTCATAAATACCCTTTAGTCAGTGAGTCCAAAGAAGTCAATATATGATGGATTTCCAATGATTTTTCCAGAGGTTCGCTTTCATTTTCCGTACACCCCCATTCATATTATGGTACATTCTTAGTGCATGTTGCCCAAAAGAATCTCCTTGTATGGACTAGGCGCTAACGTGCTGAACCATATGCACACAGACTCTTAACCAATCAGAATTGCTTAACTGTCGCGCATCCAGGCACCAGCGCATGATTAATGCAGCGGACATTACACTTCTCAGCGGGCATTATCAAATGTTAGCAGTCAAGTTGACCTTGTTGAAAAGGGAAACTCTGAGGTATTTATGAATAAAGAATAAACAAACACTCTCGCAGTTCTGTCCACTACTGCTATCGCACACCTGAGAATGCAAACAAAACCACCCACCTTGACTTTCACACTCGACCTCCACGGGCGGGAGCGGACCGCTACCGTCAGGGTCTATCATATGAGTCCCACTATATTGGCACGAACTGCTATGCTGGGCTGCAAAAAAAAATAATAAATTACCCAAATATGACAAATTGAAATTAAATTCCAGCGCAAATGTAAAAGTTGCATAATGTACTGCAGCAAGTCTACATAGTCCTTAGAACAGAATTCAAAAATTTGAACATTTAAATGTTCCACACATTCCCGGGAAAATAATCAGTATGCTTAGATGTTATCCATTTGCGAGGTCTGTACGGCAATTTGTTTCAGATGTGTCTTTGGTCACAGCTGGTACTTACGAATTGAGCAAGTGGTACCGGTGTAGCCTGTGTCGGTGCACTTGCAGGTGAATGTGTCCCAGTCCGACATGCACTCACCGCCGTTCGCACAGGGGCTCGGGGTACACCTTCAGCAAAGAAAGAATGAGACACACATGCACCGAGAAATGGAAAAAGGATTCCATGATTGAAACGGTCTCTCCCGCGCAGACTTCAAGTTCCAGGTACAGGGCAGTCTCAGTGACCCACGTGACCCAATGTCCATCCATCACTGTCGATGGCAACGACGGCAGCTTTGCCCAAAGTATACCGGCTGAAGGCAAGCAGTCAAAGCCTCGATATATAGCAGAAAGAATGGACAAAAATCCAGAGCCAGCAAGCAAATGCTGGATCGCCAAGATAAGGGAAAAACCGTATAAGGCGGTGACCTCTGTGCCACTTGCTAAAGAATTCAACATTAATGTTTCAGTAGAAAGTCCAGCGTATAGTTGCCAAAGACATACTTGCCAACTGAAATCAGCTCAACGTAGAATTGCATCCCTTGCAATGTAAACAAATGAGGTTTTACAGTGACATAAACCATGAAAGGCCCGCGGTTTCTTTAGGGGTGGGAGGGGAGGGTTGGGGCAGACTCCCTGAAGAACTCCACTGTTCTATGACTAACCTCTTTGAAACTTCAAGAACATGTAAAGCAATGCATTATAAGTGCATCTATTACATTTCAATTCATTAAGACGTAGAAATTTGTCTTTATAGACATTTCTAGTATCCACTTTCAAACAAGTCAACCTATGTTTTCAGCACGAGTCAAAGAGAAAAGTGAACATTTTCAGCTGGCCTGTCTCGCATGGCATGTCCAATTATCATGAAAGTGGCATCAAAATCAGGAGAAATCAGTGGGACAACCCCTTAAGGCTCTCCATTAACCGTAACACTCCTCAGTCCTCCAACAGGTGAAGGATTGAGGAGGGTTAGGGTTAATGAATAGGGTGCCTTCCCCCAGCTCTTTTGGGGTTCAAGCGTTGCAGCTCGGTCTGAGAGACTTACCAATCTTCCAGGCTGCAGGTGTCTACGTCTACCCCTTCACTCATGGCTCCCTGGGGCATGCTGCCGTCCAGGATGGAACGAAAGTCCAGTCTGGAATTGCCCACCACCACGTCCACCATGCAGCCCAGGAAACCTGGCAGGTCCCCCATTTCGGAGCTGTCTCCAGCTGAGGGACAAAGAAAGACAGGAGAATGCGAGGGGAAATATTGTCGGTTGAAATGCAGTCAATGGAGACTTGGCAAACGACCTTCCAATACAGTGCCCTTGTGTTGTGGACCCCGGGGCGTGAACGAGAGGCGCTTTGCTACCTAGCGAAGACGTCTCATGGAGTTCAAATTTCTTCTATACCAAGGGTATACCAAGGGCCGGCGACCATTTAGACCCGGTTTGAAAAGGGCCCCCCAGTAAGCTCGCCCTGTTGCAAAAATCCCTTTCATACCGGCCTGGCTACCGGCCTGGGATGCTGGACTGGTTGTTGATCTCGAACTTCTCCATACTAGGGTCTATTGTTTGCAAGTACTGGCACATGTAATCTGTCCCAGAAGGAACCTGCTTGTGGTTTTTAATCCTTCAGCTCTATACAATGTTTACACTAATCTGCTTAGGCCCCTATTCATCTGTGGAAGCATGGTGGGGGAAGCCTTTCATCAGGGACTTTGAAATGCCAATGTGCAGACAGGCCTGATACCGGCCTGGAGCAGCCTGAATACCGGGCAGGCATTATAGCGGGTGCGCTACCGGGGGGCCCTTTTCAAACCGGGTCTAAATAGTCGCCGTCCCTAAGGGAGTCAGGTTGGTTAAGGGGAATTTGAGTTGGCATAGCGGCCCTGTCCTCGCCTTCCATCTCTGCAGCTCCGATTTGAAGACCACCTCAGCTGGCAATGTGGATTGGAATTTCAGTTTCTACTGGACTCCATGGGTTTAGCTTGGTCTATTTACCGGGGTTCCCCCCCCCCTAAAACTGAACGTTTCTTCATGTGTCTTCTTTAATGGCCACTTAAATTCATCCTGTGATTAGTGCTGATTGGGCTATTGGATGAACACATATATTTGCAAATGAGTACTTTTCCTGGCCTCTGAGTGGACCATAGCTTGCATTTCTGACTGTAGCATCAACCTAGACAATCTCGACTTCTGTGGGCAATACTTACTAATAAATGGATAAACATAAAAATTTACTCAAAAAGCCAACCCTGAACTTATACTCCAATCTTAAAGAACTGGCAAACACTGCCAACTCCATAGCCTCTATTCCTCTTGTCACAAATTTTCCACAGATCCACAGCTTTCTTCATATGACTATCCAAAAGGCAACGGGAATTATGTTAATTCAACACAGTGTTTTGTCTCTGGGAAAATGCCATCCTGCTGACACAGCGGTACCACTTCCACGAACGCCTACTTACTGGTGCCGCCCACAAAGTAATTCTCATCGGTGTTTATGGAGAAGGTCCGCTGGATAAGGTTGGTTTCCCTGTCCACTGTCCAGCGGATGACGTTGTTGGCCATCTCCAACCGCACACTGTGCCATCTGCCATCGTTCAGGTCTGACCCCACTGCAAAAAGATACCGCCAAAAAAAGAAAAGAAAATAAAGAACACTGTCTGACATAATTATTTCCGTTTCATTTCCAATTCTAAATGATAAAACCACTATTCTCAAAATGGTTCCCACTCATGCATCGCTTACTGTTTTTCTCTGCAGTCAACTGCAGAAGTGCACGCTCTTACAAAAATGGCCCCCATTTGGACTTGCTCTGTGCATTTTTCAAAGACAAGGGAAACCCCCTTTTATGACTGCTCAAATACTGCCAAAGTGGACCAAAAAATATTTTGGAGCATCTGACCTCCGGGTATTTCTATGCCTCTGCTTGTGCCCGTCTTAAGGATGACTACCGGCGTGCCGTCGTTAAGACCCACGGTGATGTAGCCACCCGTGCTGGACACCAGTTGGTTGTTGACCAGCAGGCCACTGGCACTGAATGTCCGGAATTTGAGCGATATCCTGACGAGGGGAAAGAGAGGGATCCCAGGCCTGTTAGTGCAAGGCATACCCTGAAATGACCTATTTACAGTCTTTTTGAGACATATTTTTATAAAAAGAGGTGTTTACAAAAGTAAACCATCAAACCTATTTCAGGTCAGCCTGCCTCATGCCATCTATGCAAACTTAAACAATAGTACCGTTTGGCGACTGAGTTTAACCTGCAAGTTAAGAACTGAGACCAATGTAGACTGAAGTTGTACAACAGGTTACGCCAGTAAGTTACATTTCTGACAAGAAAGAAGTTAAGACCATCTCAATGACGTAAAGTTTTATGACAGGTTAGCCAACTGAAAACAAAGTTTTAAAATTGAGATTGGAGACCACTCTACTCACGTAAAGTTCTGTGATAGGCTCGGCCCTGGCCACTGCAGGTAGGAACTTTCGGTGGGGAACGTGGCGGGCACGCTGGGCTCCCCCCGGCAGTCGTACTCCAAGTCCCCCACCAGGCTCAGCGTGGTGTAGTCGCCCGCTCGCTCCCCCTTGATGAAGTCGAGGGCCGTGCCCAGCCGGGACGGGTCCACACTGTTGCTAAGGAGCACGCCCTGCAGGCAGCCCACGAAAAACTGGTTGGAGGACAGGCCACGGTGCTGTGCCACCGATGTCCCCCCGATCGTCATCTGCAAAGTGAAGACGTGAAAGGGTTATGAGGGGAAAATATGGAAAACTTCAAGCTGGACAAGAGTACTTTTTCAGTTTGTAATGGCACCCATGAGAAATAAGAAACCTATGAAGAAATGCCGACTGTGAAATTGATGCAATTGAGCCCAGACATTTTTTAATGTGTTTTTTCATACCAACCCAAAAATTACAACATGTTGGTAAACTTCGGAATTTAAAGATTGAAACCTGCCCATCTTTCATCAACCTTTCATTCACCCCTTACAACACAATATAAATCAATCATCTTGTGCCGATAAAAGTAATCTTGATATCCAAGCGTACCTCTTTGTCCAAGTCCAGCCGCTCAAAGTGGCCATTTGTTCTGGCGGCCACGGCCACTCCGTCCACCACGAGCTCAACCATCTGCCGCTGGCGTTTGTACTGCACCAGGTGCCACTGGTTGTCGTCCAACAGGCTTCCACCTTCCAGCAGCAACGCACCAGAGTCCCGCTCGCCAAGGGAATCTCCTGTTATCAGAAGAAGGCACAGAAAGGGTATGGCCTGACAGTTCCACTTGAGCAAAGGAAGTGTCGCAACAGGACTGACATGTCAAAACTCTTGAACTGCTCAAGCCGGTGTTTTAGTGGGAATTGGATGATAAGGTTTCAGTAACAAATTTAAAAGTACTGTATTATTTAGGCAACGTCAGACTGAACGCTGAGTGCATGTACTGTATATGAAACAATCAATGTGAAATGTCAAATTCATGGCCTACTTTCTGTCTTTCGAGAGGCACTGCACACAAAGAGATGCATGTATAAGTGGACAAACAGACTAAAAACCTTATTTTTTTTCTCAATTTACACGTCAGTTTGGTACACTTTTAGTCCAATCACAGACGTAAAAGGTAACATCAACATTTACATCATTTTATGCCTGAAAAAAAAAAGGAAAGGGTAGGCGACCACCAAGAAAACATTCTCCAAAGTGAAGACAGCCATCTAATCCATGGAGTAACGATTCAGGCTAGTGTCCTGCCAAGAAATGAGCCGCAGGGGTCCGAACCAGAGCTGTGCCCAGCCTAGCAGGTAGCTTGCCCACTCAGCTGCATCACTCGCTGTGTTTGTTTTATTTTATCATGCGGAAACCAGGTTGATGGTGTGAATGACCTTGAGGTATGCAATGGGCTACCTGAGCATTTCGCACTGCTGGAAAGAGCCAGTGGCTCATTCATTTTTGCATTGTAATGTGGTTTAACACTTCGTTCTTATCTCTCCTCTGCTGAAATCATACTTTGAGTCCCTTGGTAAACAGCACAGAGATACACAGCTGTGTCATATTAAGCATTACACTAAATATCCTCACAGGAATATCAGATTACACTTTTGCTATGCCCAACAACTGTGCCTCACTGTTTCATGCGCATAATTGTGCAGGAAACCAACTGCAGTGAAGAGGACTGCATAAAACAGCCTGTGTCATTTTATGCTGGCAACCGACTGTGTACACATTGAACATGTGCATATTTGTGCTCCGTATAGAAAACACATACACAAGAGTGACTGCTGGCATTTCTGCATATTTTTGCTGGTTGAACCACAGAAAGGTTTTGGCCACCCTTCACTTTTTAATTTTTTTACATTTAAAGCATTTCCATTACAATAAATGTGATTCAGGTTCTGATATGCATGTACAAGTGTATATTGTATACATTTCAGTACTTGTGCAACTATTTTTTAAAAATCAAATCACAAAGGATTTCTGCTCTCAGCTGGAAATGTACGAAAAACTTGATTTTGTTCCTAAATAATAAAATGGAGTCATTATTGCTTGATTGGTATAACAACCTGAACTTTGAAAATCCAGAAAGTTGTAGGTGCTGGCATTGTGATCCTAGAAGAAATTTTTTTGAGGCACACAAAAAAAAATCAATTTCTTTAGATGAAAGTATTACCTTTTCAGTTTACAAAATGAGACAAATGCATGTTAGTAACATCATGTGCTTTTAGTTTCCTGCACCAACATGGACAATTACAGGATGGATGAAGGAATCCAGCAAAAATTGCCTCACAGACAGACCTCGTCTGATCTATGACCCAACAAATTGTCAAAGGCCCTACACAGAGTCAAGCACGTTGTAAATCGACAGGGAGCCTAACCATTTCTCGCTCTTGGTCCTCTCTTCATCGGGATGCTGAACTGAGTGATATATCAAAACAAACGTCTCGGTTTGCTCGTTATAATGCAAACTGAATCAAAATAACAGGGAGGAGACTCATTTTGTGGGAACCGTTCCTGACTGACGCCATCTCCTCACCTAGATTGAGGCTGAGGTGGACCTTCCCCCCTCGCAGCTGCAGGAAGATGTAGTCCGAGTGCCTCCCGATCCCTGCCGCTAGGAGCCCGTCCGGCCGTGACGTCCGGAATCGCATCTGGAGGAGATCCTCGAAGGACTGGATGTGGTCAACGGGCTGACTGACGTCATACTTGATGTATGCCGTGCCATCAAAATAGGCTGTGTCTATGAGGAGAATGAGGAATTACAAAAATTGGAGGTTATAAAGAAGGGGGAAGACCGTGTCTGAAATGAGCTTCCAGAGCTACGGCTAGGTCTTACTGTCTGCGCGTCTTTGTGTATTTCCAATGGAGTGAAGACCTAGACCTAACTCTGGAAAATAGATCTGAATGAAGCCTTAGACTGCTTGATGAAAGTACAACATAAGAGGTAAGGCCGCATATGGATTACTCGGCTACCTGGCTAGCTACAACACACAAGTCTATGCAATGTGGCCACAGCCGTCAGCTAGCGACTTCAATAAGAGCACATGCTATCTTCAGCCACTGAAATGGACAGAGAGCTTAGCCATATCCACATCAAGTTGCCGCTGCTGGGAGAAGCACAAATGTCTGGTATAATTTTTTCCAACTTAAAGAGAAGAGCAAGTTAACAGACCTTTTAATTTTCAAAGAAAATGAAACTGTTCACTGCACCCTAACTATCAGAATGGGTACAGACAACAAAGCTGGTAATGAGAATGAGGGAGGCAGGGCTGATCTTACACACCTTTGAGGCAGCCGTAAACTTCAACGCGCATGGAGAGAGCTCCGATGAACTGCATCGGGTTGAAACGGACATAGCGTGCTTCAATGCTGTTGGGTAGGACGTTCTTGTGGGCCAGATTGCCGTTAGTGTTGCCTGGGAAGAGCTTGAAAAAAAACAAAACAAAATATTTTAAGCACTGAGTATCAGAAACGTACATGTAATCAGGGTGAAACTTCCATGGAGCACTCAGGGCGTACACGTTTCTTTTCGAGGAGGTCACTGAAATCAAATTAATTGTGGCTTGTATATAAATTTCATACATTTCAAACTTTTAATTGAGGAGAGGCGAGAGGGGCACAAGGGTACCAGGGAGAGGGGCACACTTCCCCGGTACCCATGCATCTCTTCCACAGTTACGCCACTGCTATGCATGTGGAAAAAAGGGCTTATCAAAAACCAACAAAACCACACCGTTAAAAATAGTGCAGAAGTACAATGGCTCTGAGGCGATGACAGACAAAATGTAAACGCAGCCCTGTCACGAAATCTGCTCAAGTGCCTACTTTAATACAAGTGACACATTATAAGAGAGGTTAGGTTGACAGCCCAAAACCACTGGTGTCATGCAGCTGACGCTCATGCCGAGACCTACAAATTTGTAAAATTGCTTGTGTGTATTCCGTGCTCACGGTGCATAGGAGGGAACCAACACCTGCATGCGGCATGTCTTTTTTCAGGATGATGTACAGAGCCCCGTACTTGGACTTAGATTACTGTACCAGCAATGAAACCTCGAACCACTGTTTAAAGGGGCATGCCAATGGACCCTCGAGGCTGGCGCGAGTACGCGTAGGTGCTAACCACATCAGGTTTATCACCACCTTCAATGAGGGATCTCCCCCCAGGGTAGCACCTTATCGTTTGCTTGGACTAGGCCAAGACTTGCTGAAATGTGATCTCCATGGTGTGGGGGGGGAGGGAAGCAAGCGAGGGCTGAGAGACACCTCACTGGAACAATCACGACCAGGTGATGGATAGCGTAATTATCCCGTCAAGTGTAGTCAGGTAAGGTTGGAAAGGAGGCCAAGGCACTTGGTGCTTGGACCCCCCCCAAAAAACCCTCAACTGCCATGCATTCTAGTGATTAACATTCTCCTCATGAGTCATGACCCAGAATGATTTACAAAACTTCCGTTAATGATTTTTTTTCCAATTTTCGACATTCTCATTGTAATATTCAATTTCTAATGGTTGATTGTGACATTTTACGAGTCAAGGAATTTCCCTAGCACTTAAATATGTTGTATTATCTGCAACATTCCCCGAAACTTCAGTAAAGTTGGATATATATATAGACTCAGGTCTCAACAAGCTTGTCACATTTGTGATATCCCAAGATATTTTTAGACTTGAAAGGCTCGGTCCAAAACTGAGCCAGAGAGAGGAGTGATGCAAAGAGGGCAGGCTATGCGCGTACGAACACGGTAGAATTACCAAGCTTTGTTGAACTTGTTGAACTTAAAAATCTTCTTCAGTGAAATGAATATGTAATGATTTGGAATTTCTGAAGTGAATATCCACTGATATCAAATAGTTGTTTTAAATTTCAATTTGTTGTGCTCATATCATTTCACCCGGCTGTTTAGAGACACGGAACTAGTTCACATTACCTTTTCTGCCAGGTCGTTGTCACTGTAGGTCGTCCACTTGCTCCCGTCCGCGCTGTACATGAGCTTGTACTCGGTGACGTAGTCATTAGTGCCAAACCGACCCTGGGTGGCCACTGCAGTGACCGTGGCCACGCTCCCCAGGTCGATAGTCAGATACTGGGATAGGTCCTGGGTGGAGGCCGTCCAGCCCCCGCCCCCTGAGACAAAAAACAACCGAACCAACCAAGTGAAAATCAGAAAACAGGTTTAAAAAAAAAACTGAGATCCCTTCATCAGCCTGTGCCACAACATCATCTCACAAAAAAAACATCAACGGTACAAGTGTATGCACCAGATTACATGTTGAGCCACTTATAAGTCAAGTATACATGTAAGTGATGAAAATAATTAACGGTCTTCATTTTACAGGTGCAAAAATATTTACAAACATTGCTTATCATCAACCATTAGCATCACGATTCAAAAATTGCAGTTACAATTCAAAATGAATTATGGGTCTTCATAACATTTTCCATCAACAGTCCCAAGGCACTTGAAGAATCTTACTCAACACGGAGATCCCTGTCCTGATTTCTATAAACTTTTTTCAAACAAGAATGTGCTATTTCCCGGTCCCTCCGCCCCTCTCAAGCCCACGGGTTGAGAGTTACACTGTACTTGTACGTTTAAATCCCATCTGGTCCTCATGTCAGGCAAGCCAAGTCTGTCCAAAATCTCCTTCCCCTTACGCCCACTCACCATCCCTCTTGTGCAGTCTGGCGTACCGGGGTCCCTGCAGGATGTTCAACCATGTTGTGGCCGAGATCTGACCGTCCAGGATGGCGCCTGATTCCATGCCGAGCGGAAGCTGACATCCTTCGAAGAGAGGACAAAACAAAACATAAAAGAAACTCCAGATTAGTAAAGACTCCCAAAAGTTGTTAAAGGTGAACACAAGATGAACCTCACAGCATCACACTTTCCAGTGGCTTAACCCTCCTATGCTAAGATGCATTCTTGACACAGTTGTCATATCAGTCAAAGTCAGTCAAATTTCCCATACGTGTCTGTGTACTGGAGGAAATCAACTGGAAGGCATTTTTTACTGTTTTTGATGGTTAAAACAGAAGGAGTGTTAATACCCAACTGCACGTACATGAACAGTACAATGGCTTTTAGATACTCCATCACAATTGCGTATCAACGGGGGAGGGAATTGGGTAAAGTGACAACACCCCCCCCTCCCCATTCTGGACACTGACAAACTTATTCAAGTGCCCCCTCCAGCATGTCAGGCCTCCGTGTCCCCTTCCCTGTGACTCAAATCCATGTTTGTACAGTACTAATCACAGGCATCTGATCTGGTCAGTGACACCTTTCAAAGTACACGTACTGTCCATGGATGCTTTTATATATCACTTGTACATCAGTTTTACAGGCCAAGATCCTAACTTGATCCACTTATCGCAGTTTAAGAAGTAAATCCCCCTGAAGCACATGACACCGGTAAGCCAATGCAACATAACAGCATTACAGAACTAACGCTTTACTAAAATGGTAAATACAGACATATGAACTCTATGTTTGGTAGAACAGGATGGTAAATGCAACAGTTTGAGTATCTTGCATTGACCAATTTGTTGGGTTTGTGAGAATATTTGGACACTTAGGCTGTGTCCAAAACGGACTTCCAGAGCTACGGCTACGTCTATTGCCTACGCATTTCCACACATTTCCGATGGAGGGAAGACCTAGACGAAGCCCTAGACAACAAGATTTGGATGCAGCCATAGTCTAAGAAATGGTCTGGTACTGTTCGAGGTGATTTTCAATACGAGACCAATGTAAAGGGCAAAGAAACTCCAGGACAGAGACACACTTGGTTTATTTCACAAGTAAATGAAAAATAAGTGCATGTGAAGGAGTAAAATGTGTCCCAAACAACTTATGACGAACAAAATGACATCAATACACCACTGCAGCTTGTACTACATGTACATGTACTCTCAGACTGATATTTGCTGACAAAATTTGCATTTTTTTTCCAAGTGTAGTCCACATGTACGGTACATGTGGTATGTTTACCCACCGCTGACTTAATACATGGGTTTGTATGGGGTCGTGCAAGACGGGCCAGCTGTGTTCTGGTAACATCTCCTACGACTACGGCCTCAAATTTTGATCAAACAGAGAAGAGCTGTAGCCAGTGCTCGATATTAGTGGATGTTGTAGTTTCACATGGAGATGCCACAGATCAATATAAACCATTGAAAATATATCTTACAGGAGTTTCTCTGGGGATATGCCTCACATATAGCAAAGGATATTTGAAATGACATACACGATTAAGCGAAAAGTGCTACATTTCTTAAAAAGTGACATTAAATCATTTTATGCAGCATGATCATTTAGTGTCCAAAGAGGTCAGTACAAATCCTTGGTATACATGTCTGATGAAGCAATTTTTTTCAATACCATACTGAATTCTATACTACCAGTATCTATAATTCTATTCGAGTATCAACTCGACTTTCGGTTATGGAATGACATGCTGTGACAGGATAAAACCACGGCATGAACCAAATTTAAGTTCTTGAATCTGGCTTTTCAAAAAATGTAGCCAGCTAATGAGCATCAGGATGGCCTTTAGTTCAGCGCTCGCTTCACCTTTATGGGTTTCAAATTCTTGGAAAAACGCCGGATGCAAAAATATCATGATTTTTTTCCAGGAACAGAGGAAATCAACAAATTTCACTGCTTGAAAAAGGCTACTGCTGCATTAAATGACTAAATAACAAAAGAATTACATCAGACATCTTGTGTCCATCACAAAAGCTGTGCTGGCCTTCAGTGTTTGGCCAAGAACAATAAGCAAAACTAAGTGGGAGAGGAAACCTACATGTCCAAGACATGATATGATAAATTAGGCCTTCAATGTTATTGTATCAACACCCAGAAACATGAAGGTAGGTGAGCAGACACGCTCTTTCATAGCTAAAGTTTGCCTACAGGCATGAGACAAACTGTTACATAACATTCTCTGGCTATAATGACAGTAAACAGAGGAAGCCTCCTCCATGTTGGCCCCAGTACAGAAGCGTCTGCTCTAATGACCTCCAAGTGAATGTGTATTGTTATGGACAAAGGAAAAGTTCAAACATTTACACACATGCATGCAGATAAATGTACATGTACTGTACATGCATGTGACTACACATGTGAATAAGCATGATATAGAAGTACAATCTTTACAAGAAGCATCGGGACTTGAAAAACCAGCCTATATTTGGTAAAATAAGTGGGACAGTTTCAGGTTTTCAAGTCTGATTTCAGATTGCTTTCACTCTATCTACCGCTACTTCTGATTTGGCACTGATCCACATTCGAATAAAAGAGACAAGGAAGGAATGTGTTTCTTAGTTGTAGGTGTAGGATGGAAGCCCCAGATACCAAACAGTCGTGTGAAAGCCACTTATGATCAGGAGAACATTTTTTTAAAAAAAGAAAAAAAAACAGAATTTCTAAAATGGCTCTTAAGGGAGATGGAATTTGGGTCATATGGGAAAGAAGGCAAGGAAGGACAGGGTTCCAGCACCTCAAGGACAATGAAATTCCATGAGTTTTCCATGACCGAATTATGAAAATCCATAACGAATAATGCGATTTTTGGACCATTTGGACTTTTAAAGTTGCAAATACAATGCCGCATTTTATGCACTTATTTCTGATAACAAATCACAAACAGCGTTTGAAAAATTCCATGACTTTTCCATAACTTTAGTTATTTTTACAAAATTCCATGACTTTTCCAGGCCTGGAAAACAAAAACAAATTTCCATGACTTTTCCAGGCTGCAGGAACCCCGAAGGAAAACCACCTTGACCACTAAGGTACCACTTTTCCCAAATCACGTATTACACATGAATATATGTACTCCTGCCTGCATTGCAATGCATTCACTTCAGACGGCCTGCACGGCCTTAAAACCATTTATGGTACATGTGTAATTCCGCATGGAGCATAAGCAGTTTTCCTTCTCTGAATGCAGAAGCCTGGGGAGGTTATTTTAAGAACCGTTTGGCCACGTAACACTAGCAAAAGGGCAGGGCACATTTTTAAGCCCGCAAAACAAAATGGCGTGCCAAAGAAGTTCATGCCATTCCTGGGGGTCTCGAATCAACCTGAAAGATCAATTTCTATTTCTAAAAAGTTATTAACAGTGGGAATGTGTAAACACTGTGAGGACAGAAATCCTGGCTATGACAGGAATCTTTTAACAGGTTAATATAAATTTATAAAAATATATTAACTTGTTCCAAATGCTTGACAGGTGCGGCACTGAAGACGCACCTGCATGTTCATGAACACATGGATAATGTTAAGTCCTTTCTTATACTTGATGGAGGCCTTTTCACACTACGACCTCTCAACCCGGGTTGACCTCATCCCCGGGCAAACCCATGACTGCCCTGGATTGAAAATTTGTTTTTTCAACCCCATGTTCAACCCTGTGATGTTTCCCACTTGTTCTGTGGGAACTGGGCTTATTGGGATGAGTTCAACCTGGAAATAAGCAATAAATATATTCTCAGCCATGGTCCAGAGCAGGGCTGAATTCAACCTGGGTTGAAATTAATCTCGGGGTTGACGCAGGGTTCGCCCAGGGTTGAAAATTACCAAGTGTAAATTGTCACCAGTTTTCAACCCTGCATCAACCCCATGATTTGTCTTGAGTGAAAAGGCCTTAAAAGCTGTACATATGGGCTGAGTTCGGGTGGCTTGTTCTCATATGTTCACAAACAGCTCGATTTGTTGTTTGTGGGTTGGCAGCTCGAATGCCAGGAACAAACAACCGGTGACAGTGGTAAACACCATGCAACATATGGCGACGATGCATGTACATTATTCGAGAGATAATGTTTGGATAACTGGGCTAAATTCTTTTCTTTTTAAACAGGAACATTTATTTCTGCGTAATGGAAAGTAATTAATGCTAATTTTGCATAGCTGTTAAAAAAATCAAAATCTCATGAGTTTTTCCGTATGTTCCTGTAAACCCTGACCAGGAGGTGGTGTGTGATCCTGTTCCAAGAACAGTGTTCTTGAGTCATGTTTCCGCCATTCGAGCACGAGAACAAGAAACTCTATTGAGAACAGGCCGCCCGAACTCAAACATAGTGTACTTCTTGTCTTCATGAAAAAACAAAGCCCTGTACAGGTACATAGGTTGTTACAAATTTTATTTCCCTGAAAATTACTGGTAGTACAGTACGTGTACACATATCTACATCTACATGTACATCTCTCTCATGTCTGCTGGACAAAGTCAACCATCCAACATTCTTGAAATCTTCCAGGTCAAAAATTATGATTAATGAAGAAAGAATTCGCATTACCGCTGCAATAAATCAATGAGCAAACAAGAGCTCTTAATGCGTTCAGCACAAACCTGCAAGATTGAAATAGCGCCCTACAAACAGAACACGCTCCAGTTCAAGCAAGGGATGCTGGGATCATGCTTGGACAAGAAGGGGCAGCTTGTCAAAACCAGAACTTTGTGAAAAGGACTGAAAAAAAAAAATTAACAAAAAAAAAACAGAAGAATGGAAGAAATCTAAACCCTCAAGATTTATTCTTTGCAACAGTCCCTGCATATTTTGCTCTAGGTCATATTTAAAATCAACAGTACAGGCCCTCTGAATAGATCTCATTCACAGGAATTCATTTTTGATCTTGTTCCCTGGATCTACATGTATTTTATTCAGTGTAATCCCTTATGCCAGACTATTTGGGTTTCCAAGTATCACTTTCTTTTTTTTTTTAAAGTGGCTTAATACATTTAATCCGTCACAAGCTTTAAATCGTTCTAAATTTAA